TGAAAATGAAAGCACCACCGTCCTGTGCTGCTGCTTGTTTACTTGGTTTGTGTGCACCAGTTGGTTAACACAGGGAGGTGTGCATGCTGAGTTGAACTCAGTTATCACAGTCTCAAAGCCAGTGAGGACATATCACCTCAAACTGACTGGAGACACAAAGTCTCAAAGTATGTGAAATGAGATGATGAAAGTAAAAAGGAGATGGCGGAGCCAGAGCTGGCTCCATTTCCTGAGCAGTCGGTGCCATCTATTACTCCAGTTGCTCCACAGACATATACTCACCAACCACTTCATTAGGTACACCTGTACAACTATATGCAATTCAGTAGAACACCTCTAAATACAATGTAGTTCAGTACAAAACCACCTTTAAATATGATCTCAATAATAAACATATAATTGAATTTATACATATTACAATATGACCAAAAACTGAATTAATTAGTCAAAGTGTTTGTCATATGCACAGTTAGTAATTGTTTTTCCCTGTACAATGAAATTCTTACTTTGCCGGTCCTGCATTTCACACTTCTGGAGGCAGCTGGTCAAGATGCTCTCAGTGATGCAGCTGTAGAAGTTGCTGAGGATCCTAGGTGACATGCCAAACCTCCCCAGCCTCTTCAGGAAGCACAGCTGCCATTGGGCCTTCTTGACCAGCTGTGTGGTGTTAAGTGTCTGAGATCCTCACTGATGTGGACGCCCAGGTATTTGAAGCTGCTCACCCTCTCCACTTCATGTCCCCGGATGAACAGTGGCCGATGAATTCTCCTCTCCTTCCTCATGTCAACTATCAATCTCCTTCGTCTTGTCCGTGTTGAGGCTGAGATTATTGTCCTTGCACCATGACACCAGACCGGCCACCTCACTCATGTAGGCTGCCTCGGCCCTGCCAGTGATGCGACATATCACTGCGGTGTCGTCCGCGAATTTCAGGATGATGTTGTCTTTGTGGGAGGCGACACAGTCGTGGGTGAACAGGGTGTAGAGGATGGGACTGAGGACACATCCCTGTGGGGCGCCAGTTTGTAACAATGTTGGCTGAAATCCTATTGCCAATCCTGACAATATGGGGCCTGCTGGCACTTAAACACTTTGAGCTGCATAATCACAGATGTTAAGGCAAAAGTGTTGCATTGAATTGCATGCAATTGTACAGGTGTACCTACTAAAGTGGCCAGTGAGTGTATATAACCATCAATAACACAGATACACACAAACACAAACACCTTTACTTCATTGAGCTTGACATTTATTCCATGTTCTGCTCCTTGGTTTCTGACTACCTTGCTGCAGAGAAACTGAGCACATAGCGACAGAGACAAAGAGAAGAGCAATAGCTGCTTATGTTTATCAGAGGTTTTTGTTACCTCAGATTTTTATGGCAACATGCAGCTGTTAGTTACAGTAGAGACACATTTCAAATGAAAAGGGTATTGTAGAACTGTATCATATGGGTAATCAAGTCTTAAAAGGGTTGTCTTGTGGTGGAATGGACACGGTCACATCAAAAGATTTATGAATTTTTTAACAACCTTTTGATAAATATATATATAAATATTTAATATAACCTATAGGCTACTGTTTTGTATGCAAGTGTAATTAAATACACCATCTAAATATAGCAGTAGTTTTTCTAACAAAAATTAACCAAATAATAGATTTAATGTACACTCCAATCCTCCCATCTACCTCATCTTCTTCAGTGCTAAAATTGCATAATCCAATGTTATGTAAAGCACCGTGCACCACTGGCCAGTAGAGGGCACCATGTGAGTGGGAAAAACCAGAGGGTACAGTGGCATATAAGGAGACTCCCATGCTACTCCATGTTTAGTCATTGGTCTAGAAAGGTATGCAGTGGCTGAGCTACCGCTCAGTTTCATAACACAGTATTAGGTCTGTTTAATGCACAACACGTCTTTATAGGAAAATGTAAAAACATGTTCAGACTGTTCACATTTATAGATGAGTTAGTATTATAGTCAATTTGTTGTTCTGCTTACAAGGGACGGCCTGTTACTGTATTTATGCGAATCTCACCATCATTTTCAGCCTCGTTGACGTGATCAGACATATCACCCCCATGAAGAAATCTCCTTCGGTCCTCAACAATCTGAAAAACAGACAAACAATAATGAAAAAAGACATGACAAAGCATGATATCATATCACACCAGTCATCAGTCCACGCTTCAAGCAGGTATACTCTAGGACTGAACAGTAAGTTCAGGCTGCTGAACACGCTGCCCCACCTCACATCTGAACACAAGGATATAGTTGTTTCAGCTTTAATCCAATCACACACACACACTACCACAATAAAAGCTACACACTTTCTAAAGGGGAAACTTTTCATGTCTTTTCTTGGGTCATTTTCATGCTATTCAACAAAGGAAGTGCTAATATCACTTCTCTTCACCACTGAAATATGTTCTTATCACAAAAATGATTTGGATGATAATAATGGAATATAAATGTCAATTAAGAGTAGGTTTTTCTTGATAGATGTGTATGCTGTAAGTTTTTACTTATTTATTTTAGTAAAAACAGGTTCAAAATGCACTGACTTTTTGTCTCGGAGTTTGAAGTGAAAAAGCGTGTTATGTTGCAATGGCAACAAAATACCTGTATGGGTGTGCAGGACCTGTCGCCCTGACATCTAAAGTTCAAGGGGGCCGAATACTTTCGCAAGGCACTATATGCACAGGCCCTCTTTGTGGACTTCAGCTCGTCATTCACCACCATCATCCCGGACATCCTCCACTCCAAACTGACCCAGCTCACTGTGCCTGCCCCCACCTGCCAGTGGATTACTAGCTTTCTGACAGACAGGAAGCAGCAGGTAAGGTTGGGGAAAACCACATCCAGCACCCGGACAATAAGCACAGGTGCCCCCCAGGGATGTGTGCTCTCTCCTCTGCTGGTTTCACTCTACACCAATGACTGCATCTCAAAGGACCCCTCTGTCAAGCTCCTTAAGTTTGCTGATGATACAACGGTCATTGGTCTCATCCGAGACGGTGACGAGTCAGCCTACAGACGGGAGGATGAGCAGCTGGTCCTGTGGTGTAGCAACAACAACCTGGAGCTGAACACACTCAAAATAGTGGAGATGACAGTGGACTTCAGGAAGCTCAGGAAGTTCGACCTGCCTCAGGAGCTGCTGATACAGTTCTACAGAGGAATCATCGAGCCTGTTCTCTGCACCTCCATCACTGTTTGGTTTGGCTCAGCAACCAAACAGGACAAGTACAGACTTCCGCGGACAGTCAGGACTGCAGAAAAAGTCATTGGTGCAAGCCTGCCCTCCATGGAGGACCTGTACACCTCACGGGTCAAAAGGAGGGCGGAGAGGATCACTGCTGACCCCTCACACCTGGGACATAATCTGTTTGAACTCCTCCCCTCTGGACGGCGTTACAGGTCGCTGTGCACTAAGACAACCAGGCACAGGGACAGTTTCTTTCCCTGGGCCATCACTCTGATGAACACTTGACCCATGACAGTATGACGGCACAAATAACCTCAGTGCAATACCTTCCTCCAGGAGGAATCTGTACATTGTACAGATTATACGGATACATACAGGTCTCTATTTTTAAGTACTCGATCTTTATTCCTGTTTATCTCGTTCACAATAAGCATTCCTTTGTCTGTCTGCATAGTTTAATGCCTGTTTATACTGTTTACTTTGTTATACTACACAGCCTTATATTGGTTTACTGTATACTTGCCCCTTGCATGGGGATATGTACATGCACATTGAGAGCACACCTGGCCAATGAAGCAATGACTCTGCTGTCACGCACCTTGTGTGCATCTGGTAAACCACAACAGTTGTGATACTCAAGCACTTCCGGAACTTTCGTAATGGCTTTTCTGTGCAGAGCGCGTGCAGCGACCAACCCTCTTCTTTCAGCGATAAACTGATGAATGAGTGAGAGCGGCCAAGCCTGCCCCGCATCTTAGCACCACTTCAGAGATAAAGCTTTTTACTTGAAGGGACTCGTCGCGGAAACGGGAGGTGAGAAATACAAACCGGGGTTGTTGTCCGCTAGCAAATGTTTCTGTCCGTTAAAACCATTTTTGTTTGCATTTCTTGGTCCGGGAGTGCGGAGCGTCAATTAGGCTCCAGACAATAGAGACGCATGAGGCACTTGTGCACCTTCGCTTCCTGCTGTCTGCATTGCTGTTGCAGCCTCCTTCCGTGTTAGGGAACGGGCAAACACGCTGCTTTCTTTCTTTGTTTTTTCTTTTCTTAACAAGTCTGTGAAACGAGCCGTGACTGCGACACGCAGAGATGACACATTTGCGGGTTTAAATTGCTTTCTGAAATGAATGTTTAATTTGTAGCAGTGTTACCCAACAACCAGTAAGGCTATAAGGGCCAACTAAAAAGAAAGTGTCTTGTGTAGGGAGTTATGTAAATTGAGGCATAAATGATAAGTTGGGTGCTTTACAGCTCCATAAACACTTAAATCAGTTATGATTGGTTAAGTGTTTGTAGAGTCCCTACTAGGGTTGTATTTTAGTTGCCAGAATAAGTTAATGAACTCCGCGTGCAAGAAATTGAGTTTTGTGAAGCTCATAGGTTAGAGGATAAAGAGCAGACAGTGAGTCTCAGAGTGGCTCACAGCTCAATATAGCACTTTTGCATTCAAGGCAACCAGCTGAAACACTCAAAATTCGCACACAGTGATTTGCAGAAAGTGTAGTGGGAGCAGCTGTGATCACACCTTTGACATTGGGTGTTCTAGTAGGAAAGAAGATAGGTAGTAACTCTTGGATAGTATTTTCCATGTCCACTCGCTGTGAAGGGTGAACTGTCATTGTTGCAACATTTGACAGAGTTGATCTACACTGAGCAGAGATGTGATTGGTACTGAGCTAAGAGCTCAGGGGAAGAGATGGCAGAGGTGTTCTGTGAGTGACCTCTAAAAACGTTTTGGTTAAAGTTGCTTGAATGATACTGAAATGCTTTGCAGAAAGTCCCACTCGAGACTCTAAGATTAAAACATAAATTCTATTGTATGTTTTTCAGACATTTATAAAAAATATATATTATGATCATACATAGTCTAGAAGACAAGAAGCCAAAACAAAAAAACACAAGGACAGTTTCTTCCCCCGTCACTCTGATGAACACTTGATCCACAACAGTATGACTGGTCAGTAACCCTCAGTGCAATACTTGTAAGTATACACTGTACAGATTATACAGACCTGTACAGGTTTTAAGTACTCTATTTTTATTCCTATTTATCTCGTTTCACAATGAGCATTCCTTTGTCTGCATTGTTTACTCTCTATTTATACTGCTTATTTTGTTATATTACACAGCCTTATTCTGGTTTACTGTTTACTTGCTCTTTGCATGGGGATATGTACATGCACATTGAGAGCCGATGTACCAGAGTCAAATACCTTGTGTGTCCGACACACCTGGCCAATAAAGCTAATTCTGATTCTGAATGATGAAAAGAAAAAGTAGTCTGTGTGATTAAGTGAAATTTGCATCTGACAAAATGTACAGCAAAGCATTTGGAAAAATGGAAATAACAGAAGAGCCAAGCATTTGAAAGGAAAAGTCTGATAAAGAAAAACTGACAAAAGAAATACTTTTGATTATGATTTGTAACTAAACAGCAAGCCAGTGCATTTTTCTGTGGACTCTGAGTATTAAATTAGACAGTAAGTAAGGAAGAGGATGATAACTGTCTCCCCAGGCTATATATAAAGGAGGGGAGGTTAGACCAGAGACCCTGACAATTGCTCTCAGGCTCACTGAGTCCTAAAACTACAACAGAGGGATTGACCCAGCAGTGTTTCTTTCACCTACACTGCAAGGGGAGAGTGATTGATGCTGGGCAGAGCAGTTTGACTGACCTCTGCTGTTCATTTTCACACAACTGACACACCACAGCAGGGAGTTTAGGTTTCAGTAGACATTTAGTAACACTTTCAACACTGTCTCTCCTTATGGTCAGAGAGTTTAACTCGCTGAAGTGCAAATGGAGGGAAGAATGAGAGCAGGAACTCAGGGTGGCTGAGACTCTGACCCCTGCTGCTTCTCATGTTTAAATCATTTTTTAAAAACAACACGGAGGGAATGCATTGACTGCAGTGAGCCTGACTTCGCTGCTGTTTAATTTTTAAATCTTTAACAGGGAGAGGAATGTTAAGCTTTCCTCCATCATCAAGGGAGGTGAGAAATGAGTGAAAAGGAGAGGAACCACTGGCTTATACCTGTGAACCTGCTGCACATTGTACATGTCATCTTATAAGTATGTTTAAAACTGAAATCAGAAGCACCGATCTTAGTGTTTCTCCATGTTTATTCATCATAAAACCATAAGCAATGAAGAGAAGGTTGGATTAAGGCATGGAAGTGATCACAGCAGCAGGGCGGCTCAGTTGTCAGAGAAACAGTGACAACTGAAAGGTCACAGACGCATGTTCCTGACAAACTGTCTTCAGCTGTGACATTTGGTTGTATTAAAGCGACTTGCACTGAAATATACTTTTTACATACACAGACTAAATCAAATCAAATCAAATTTTATTTGTATAGCGCCAAATCACAACAAAAGTCATCTCAGGACCCTTTACAAAGTAAGGTCTAGACCTTACTGTTATCAATATTATTACATAGGGAAAACCCAACAAATCCCCCTTGAGCAAGCACTTGGCGACAGTGGGGAGGAAAAACTCCCTTTAACGGAAGAAACCTCCAACAGACCCCGGCTCTTGGTGGGCGGCCTTCTGCCTTGACCGGTTGGGGTGAGTGGATAGAGGAGAGACAAAAGAAGAAAAGCAACAAGACACAACAATCAAACACTGATCAGGTCAATGTGGCTGGTGACTGCTCGTCAGAGATGTAGAGCTCCAGGGCCAGGGCAACCTGCAGAAAGGTACAGGGAGAGAGAGAGGACACACTACGGGAGAGAGGAGACACAAAGTTAGTAATGTGTAATGGTGGCATATAGAAGCATAGGGAGAGAGAGGAGAGGAGAGGAGAGCAGGAGGGGAGGGGAAAGAAACTCAGAGCATCATGGGGCCCCCAGCAGCCTAGGCCTATAGCAGCATAACTAAGGGAGGGCTCAGGGTCACCTGATCCAGCCCTAACTATAAGCTTTATCAAAAAGGAACGTCTTAAGTCTAATCTTAAAGGTAGAGAGGGTGTCCGCCTCCCGAACTGAGACTGGGAGTTGGTTCCATAGGAGAGGAGCTTGATAGCTAAAGGCTCTGCCTCCCATTCTGCTTCTGTGGACTCTAGGAACCACAAGTAAACCTGCACTCTGAGAGCGAAGTGCTCTGTTAGGATGATAAGGCTCTACGAGGTCTTTAAGATACGATGGAGCCTTGTCATTAAGGGCTTTGTATGTTAGGAGAAGGATTTTAAATTCTATTCTGAATTTTACAGGGAGCCAGTGGAGAGAAGCTAATATGGGAGAGATATGATCTCTCTTGCTAGTTCCTGTCAGTACTCTGGCTGCAGCATTTTGGATTAACTGGAGGCTTTTTAGGGAATTATTGGGACATCCTGATAGTAAAGAGTTACAGTAGTCCAGCCTGGAAGTAACAAATGCATGGACCAGTTTTTCAGCATCACTTTGAGACAGGATGCTCCTGATTTTTGCAATATTGCGCAGGTGAAAGAAGGCAGATCTAGAGACTTGGTTTATGTGTGATTTAAAGGACATATTCTGATCAAAGATGACTCCAAGGTTCCTCACAGTAGTACTGGAGGCAAGAGCTATGTCATCTAAAGTAACTATATGATTAGACAGCAGATTTCTAAGGTTTTCAGGCCCAAGCACAATAACTTCAGTTTTGTCAGAGTTTAGAAGTAAGAAGTTGCAGGTCATCCAGGCCTTTATGTCTTTAAGACATGCTTGAAGTTTGACCAGCTGACCTGATTCATTTGGCTTCATAGATAAATATAACTGAGTATCATCTGCATAGCAATGGAAATTTATGTTGTGCTTCCTGATAATATTGCCTAAAGGGAGCATGTATAAAGTGAAGAGAATTGGACCTAACACAGAGCCCTGTGGAACGCCGTGACTAACTTCAGTTTGTGTGGAACATTCGTCATTAACATGAACAAATTGAAATCTTTCTGATAAATAAGATTTGAACCAACTTAGTGCAGTTTCTTTAATCCCAATAACATGTTCAAGTCTCTGCAGTAAGATGCTGTGATCAATGGTGTCAAAAGCTGCACTGAGATCTAAGAGTATGGAGACAAGTCCTTTGTTCGAGGCTAGGAGAAGATCATTGGTGACTTTCACCAATGCGGTTTTTGTACTATGATGGACTCTAAATCCTGACTGAAAACCAACACTGACTGAAAACAAATCATTCTTGTGCAAGTGGTCACATAACTGCTTTGCAACAGCTTTTTCAAGGATTTTGGAAATAAATGGGAGATTGGATATTGGTCTATAATTAGCTAGGACACCTGGGTCAAGAGTAGGCTTTTTGAGTAGAGGTTTAATTACTGCAAGTTTAAAAGCCTGTGGAACATAACCTGTTAATAGAGAGAGGTTAATCAGATCTAGTATGGATGTGTTGATTAGGGGAAAGACGTCTTTGAGCAGCCCGGTCGGGATGGGGTCCAGGAGACATGTTGATGATTTAGATGAAGCAATTGCTGAGGTCAACTCAGAGAGATCTATAGGGGAGAAGTAGTCCAAGTATAAATGAGGTCTTACAGATGTTTCTAAAACCATTGTAGTAGATGGCACATCTGCAAGAGCTGTGGGAGTGGTCCGACCAATTTTTTCTCTAATAGTTGTGATTTTATTTGTAAAGAAGCTCATGAAGTCATTGCTGCTGAGATCTAAGGGAATGTTAAGCTCAACAGCACTGTGGCTCTTTGTCAGCCTGGCTACAGTGCTGAAAAGAAACCTGGGGTTGTTCTTATTCTCCTCAATCAGTGATGAATAAAATGCGGTTCTGGCACTATGAAGGGCTTTCTTATATGTTATTAAACTATCTTTCCAGACTATGAAAAACTCT